AAATCGTGTATGACAACAAGCTCCTCTATAAATTCCTTTCCAAACGAGTCGACGGAAGGTTTTAAAGTAGTGGGTCGATACCTTGAAGGAGCCGATCTTGCTTGACTGTGGTAGTAAGCTGATCCTTCGACTGCTGACATGTAGCCTGAATCAAACACTCTATCCACATGTGCTTGTACTGGTGATCCACTCCCTACTCGCCTGCAACTGGTGTTGATGGTGTAAGACTGAGGAGAAGGAGCAGGCCCATGGCGGGAAGGATGCCTAAATTGAGGCTGGGGTGGAAAGGGAAAGCTGGTTGCATCCGTGTCATATCCAGAGACATATGGCTCGTCAACTCGAGCTATCTCTGGCTCGCTCTGGTAGCCATTGTACTTCCTAGAAGGACGCACGTAAGAGAAAGGGATAAAGCCAGAGCTGCCATGCTTTGTGACGGCAAAGACCCAGTCATGGTTCCTGTACATGACCCGCACTCGCTGTCCCTTGCGGACAGAAAGCTCCTCGTTACAGCCGGGAGAGTAATCCCTCACTGCTGTCATCCTCAGGTTTGCTGGTCGGTCCTTGGTAGCTCTAGCTAGTATCTGTGTCTCGAATCCACCAGCATAGCTGCCATAGCCGCCATACTCTGACTGGTAGCCGCTTCCACCGTAAGAAGGAGTTGGAGGAGGAGGCACTCCTCTACAGCAGGCACCACTAGAAGAAGAGGCCCCGCAGTTGTTGCATTGTTGGGGTACAACTACAGCTCTTATGTCTCCATGATGGCTGTAAGCTGAGCGGAGAGGCTGCTGGGGGCTCCCTGAAGACATTGAGCTCCTTGGGCTGATGCTGCTGGGCCTCCCCGAGATGCTTTGGGATCGAGTGGTGTCGACCATTAGTGAGCTAGGAAGAATGTCCTGGAACTGTGATCCAGCCAACTTCTTGTCTTTCTTTTTCTCACCTATAACGAGAGAGTCAGTAGTGATTATCAATCAATGAAATGATACTCCATATGCTAATAGCAACACTATAATCCGTATCTCTCTCTCCTTGCGTTCTTACCTTTCTTCTTTGGTTTTTGAAATGGAGCTGGACATAAAGCAATCCTCAATATCTGAGACATCTCTGCTTCTTTTTCCCTGAAGTGTCACTTATCTCTTAAACTGCTAACTCGCGAAATAAACTTCTGAACTTGAGGACTGCTCCGCGGACTGCTCTTTTTATACTCTGCTGCCTTTCCCACCGAACCCCGGGAGTGAGTATGCCCGCGAAGTTCAATTTCATCGGTACATCAAAGGGAGTAGGTTTACAATAAAATCCTTTGAAGTTATCGGTAGCGACAGGCAGACAAGTCCACACTCTGTATAGTGAACAAAAGATCAGATCTGATAGGAGAAAGAGCACACAGGCCCCATTCAAGCAAAGGAAGTACTAACATACCCTGTAATGTTACCAACATCTTTTCTAAAAACTCATTATGAAATGATACGTAACAGCATTTAAAACGTGTATTATAAATAAAAGAATTTAACGAGTGATTTGCATGTATTTATATAAAGAAGGTCTCTCTTTAAATTCAAAGGAGGAGGTGCTCATATAAGATACATGTACATGTATTGCGCTAATTGCAGCCAGTTAATAAGGATTGTGCTTATTCCTGCTCCATCGCTAAATATGAAGTATTTTATTCTTGTTGATGACGCATCAATGGTTGTGATGATTGTCTCTACTATCAGTTGCCAATTGTCCTTTTTACCATCGAAAGACTTCAATCCATTGAGAAGGGAGACTTGTGAAGAAATGAATGAGTTTTAGCACAGAGGAAGAGAAAGGGCTACAACTCAAGGACGTCTTACGTATAACGTTAAAGTTTAATCATAAAGGTTCTCTTATAATAACCGTACAGGGTTTCTTAAAAGCATGTCCTCTCAGAGTAGGTGTTATAGTAAAGTAATTATAGAAAAATTGATGACAAGTACATGTACATGTGCATGTACATGTGCATGTAGGATGAATGACCTTTGGACTAAAGTACAAGTTAGGTCTTGTACCACATGAATCAAGGACCTATAATTATATTATCAATGCATGTAGATCTTTCCCTGTGTAGCCATACTGTTGAGCCAAGGGTACACTCAATTGGTTGTGAACTTACTTGAATTATTAACTTGATACAGTGAGCTTCTTTGAACCTTTCTTTATCTGTTTGTACTTGTTCCAAGCCGACAAACACATGTTTAGTAACTATAGAGAAAGAAAGGGAGAGAGAAGAAGGGATAAGATATTTGCGGCTTAAGATGAATAAACAATGGGAAACAATGGCACAGACAATGCTTTATTTACATAACCAAGACCAAAATAACAATCTAAATTCTCCCTTCAAGTCTAACATACTATCAGCCCTTTACAACCCTTGTATTCTTCTTGATAAAATGACAATAGCATATTTTATAATAAGAAGGAGACAACAGATGTGGCCTATATATGTATACACTACAAAAGGCACACTACACACTATGACTTGTCATTGAATGAAGGACAAGAGACAAAAAGACCACAGTCACCACTAATGTGTGTGGAAGCAGGTAACCAGTCCCCTATTCAGTATTGTTACTGTGGTAGACTAGTGGGTTAGACAGTCTGTGGTGGTGGTGGTGATATATCAACCAATATATCAGGAGTCACTGACTCTGTGTGTCTATTGTTTGATTTTGAAATAAAGTTTGGGAATGTCAGATTTAAGGAGCCCTACATGTAGGCTAAATATGAGAGGCCAAAGCTGAAATTGGGAGACCTAGACCAAATATGGAATATTCAATAGAGTGTTTGAGAGAGGGAGAGAGGGAGAGAGAGAGGGAGAGAGAGAGGGAGAAAGAGAGAGAGAGAGGGAGAGAGAGAGAGGGAGAGAAAGAGAGAGGCTTGATTCGTGTGAAAACTAACACAAAGGGAACCTAATAAATTCATCTCATTAACAATGGATGGTGCAAATATATTAATGAAGAGAAGGAGAGATGATGGCAGAGAGAGAGAGAGAGAGGCGATCAGAAACAAAGTGTCCCTTTTGGCTCTAGGGGCATATTGGCTCAACCAATTTAAAAGATAAAGGTAATTAATTGGCAACAACCTTCTTTTGCAGCCGTTTCGACACATGCACAACAAACAGCCCGTTACCATAGAAATGCCAATGTGCCCCGGCAACGAGTTACCGTGGTTACCATCTCCTTGTAGCTGTTAGGTAAAACAAAGCTAAGAAGGGCGATCTCGTGTTATCATAATTAACTATATAGAGTGACGCCTGTTTTGGCAAATTTCAATCATTTTACAATTATTGCATCATGAAGCATAATAATGTGTGGACTGGATTGAGAGCCATTGCCACATTTACATTTTATCACATTTTGTGACACCTTCCCTCCCTCCCTCCCTCTCTCCCTCTCTCTCTCTCTATTGTTTAGCCAGCTGCTGCATGTGCACATGCCTCCATCACAACAACTGATAAACAAACTTTATATTCTGTAATGAAAACATAAACCAAACCGGCAGCTGAAGTAAACTCTCTCTCTCTCGCTAGGCGATCAAAGAAATAACAAATGAAAACAGACACAATTAGATATAAACATGGACTTTATAAATACACACACACACACACACACACACACACACAGACATGAGAAGTAGTGGGTATTAGAATCTGATTGATAAGTAGCTGCCAGTAAGTTAAAGCTAATGATAATTGTGTGAAGACATTGGCACTTATTTCAAGTGATGAAGGATGAAAGAAAGGTATCCTTCTTTTCATCTCTTGTTCACAAGTCGGATAAGAATTAGCTCAAAACTTTCTTCACTTTTTATCAATGAGGAACTCTCTCCCTCTCACAGGAAAAAGGGAAACCAAAACCAGTTAATGAATGAACAAGCTATACACAGAGACAAGGATACATAGAGCATGTTTATAATGAAGAAAGAGACACAAAACAGTATATTATAAACATGTACATACTTGTATGCCTCACATACATGTAGCAACAGTTGCAGTGATATGGATACTCTTTTAATGTCATTTCTGGCAGTGTAGCAATCCTGTCTGCCATGCTTTCCCTTTGATCAGAGACAGTGCGAACCAAAAATCAATAACATAGAATATTTAATGATAGACCAGCTGCTCCAATATATTCCCATGACAACAGTAAAGCAATGTACAGTCTCATTACAAAGAGGCTGGCTCTCCTACCTTCCTTTAAGCTCACTCACTCATGTAATACAGTACATAATGTTAACATGCCAGCCAACACTTGTACATGATCCCCAGTGGCATTAAGAAATGTCTATGGGAGCTACATTGTAGTATAGCATTATTTAATAATGGCTTATCATTGGAAGGGAAGGAGGGAGGGCTACATGTACATGGTTAGACGTTAATCTTGTAAAGACATTATTCTCTAATTATATTAATAATGTGAAGCTAGTACAAGCTATGGCACACTAGGAACAGACTATTGGGTGTGTAGATAAGACATGTAGCATCTATAATGAGGACACCTTTATAATGAGGGGATTTGTAATGTCCCAATTGGTATAAGCCTATACAAAAGTACCTCTGAAATGAGGACACCTCTGTATTAAGGACAGGTAGTGTGGGCTTAATGGTGTCCTTAATAAAGAGGCTACACTGTACATGTATTAAGGACAGGTAGTGTGGGCCCAATGGTGTCCTTAGTAAAGAGGCTACAATACTGATGGCTGCCCACTAGTGGTGTGTACATGTTGAGACTGTAGCTTAAGGTCAAATAAAATGACTCAAAAAGGCAATAATTCCATTAGGAGAGGAACTGACACACAACACAAACACACACACACAATTCAATTTGTCTTGATACTCAATAGAAGGTCCTGATGCTATTAAAGAAAGGATATGTCTTCCAACAATCAAACAATAACAATAAAGGAGACTGATATCAAATAGAGGCTATATTAGGACTGAGGGAGGAGAATAGGGTGGAATAGTGTGGTGAAGGAACAAGACCCTCTTCCTACTAATCAAAATAAACAAAGTGGAGGATGAGTGAATAGTATTAGGTATAAATCATGACGTACATGTACACGTATGCGATGCAGGGGGTCGGGGGCGTGGTATTTTAATGTATATACGTACACATATCAATTTGTGATTTCACAGCATTTAAAATAAAAATAAAATTAACATAATAAATTACAATGATAATAATAATGATAATAATGTATATGTATATCGCCATTAGCTCAGATGTAGCTGGACAAAGAAGCAAATACGTAATAAATAATAATTAATTGGCACTCGTTTCGAAAATAAATATTATATTTAAAACGTTCAATTATTAATAGGGCGATAAACAACAGCTGGAGGTAATAATGGTGATATCATGCAGTTCAGAGAATAGAGTGTGTGGTCAATTGTGACGGTAATGGGTAATCACCAGTCAGACACAGCCTGTGTGTAAACTAAGGGATACAACATACCATAAAATAATAATAATAATAATAACGTAATATTGTGCAGCTGTAAAAAGGGTAGAGAGAGAGAGAGAGAGAGAGAGAGAGAGAGAAGCCATTAGTCATGCATGCATAGTATAATAATTCGAATTATAAAACAGAAAATGAAATAAATACATTATTCCTAATATAAATACACACAAGCAATACATCATTATATACACAGTTATACAGCCGTGCATGGGATAAGAACACAGTATAAATACACTAATCCAATCAGACAAACAATGCCAGCCATTACAGAGAAGGCGTGGGTAAGTCTCAGATAATTAAATAAACTAATAAAAAGGAGGGAAATGGCAATCCAAGACCAGCTGCCTAAGGGCAAGGATTGATAATATCATTAATGGACACACAAGTATAGACATTATGAAATTAATAGTTACAGGCTTAGAGTACAGATAAGCATATTTAGACAATAAAATTTAAGCACTTTTATACACATGAGCAGGAATAATAGTGGGGACCAGTAAATCCCCAAAATCACTACACCTTTACCACAGGTAGACAGACAGGTACTTGTACATGTACTTGTAATTAATCCCAGTTTAGCCAAAGGCACATTTGATCAAAATATGGTCTACTGGCCATGTGTACAGTACATTATGTGTGTAGAGTGTTGTAGAGGGAGGGAGGGAGGGGGTTATGTCAAAGTGGCTATGAGTAATTAGCCATTAGTCTATTGGCTTGCTTTGTAGTTCTCTCTGTCGGTTCAAGCTGACCTCGCTCTTCAAAAAGGTTTATCATTTGGCAGCTGCTACAAAGCAAGAGGCTGCTACTAATAATGTCATGAATGATTAACTATGAAATGTAATACTTTTACTATGAAATACTCCCTTCTCCCTCTCTTTCTCTCTCTCCTTTCTCCCTCTCTCTGTCTCTCCTTTCTCCCTCTCTCTGTCTCTCTTTCTCCCTCCCTCCCTCTCCCTCTTGACTAATAGAAAATAAGATTGTTCATTTACAAGCCAAAGTCTAACCTATCTATAGGAAAAATGTTGTAAACTATTGACCTCGTCTCCATTACTACAGCCAAACTTTCCTTTCATCTGACTCCCCATAGACAAATACAGAAATCATACACAAACACTGATGGACATATATAGAGTATGTACTGCTAATATTAATTTTTTTAGATATTTATTTTTTAATTTCCTTTCAGACAGTCTGCAAGATACATGATGATAAATATTAAAAATAATAGAAAATAAATGTACATATACATGTATACTTGCATAATACGATCTATCAGGAAGTTTTTCGTGACTTTTAATTTGCTAAAACGTCACAATAATAATAATAATAATAATATTAACAGATAAAAGAAAACAATAACAATATTGTAGTATGCAGCAACAGTGACGCCAACATGTAAACAATAATTGGTGAATATTTGGAAAGTATCCAAATACCATTGAACAAGGAACCGTTACCATCGTAGGAGAGAGAGAGAGAGAGAGAGAGAGAGAGAAGTCAACAAAGCAGAACTATACAATCATATATGTACAAGTGTAACTTGTAAATTGCTGGAGACATAAACCATTCATGCAGTGTTGTAAAGTATTATTGCTAAAGTAAAAAATAACTCAACTGAATAGTACATGTACATGTACATCTGCCTTATAGCAATCAAAGACTTCAAATTTAAAAGGTCTAATTTAGATAAAAGCTACAAATACAGTACATACACACACACAGACATACCATGATAATAATAA